TTTTATGCTGCTACAACCCTACAGAAATCATTCATTTTCATTCTCTATAGGTTGTCCCTGGTTGTCAGACCAAAAAGCCAATTTCACTAACATCACTTAAAAAAAAAAAAAGGACAAATCGGTTTTCTGCTTGTTTTGTTTCGACTTTTCCTGATCTCAGTCTCTTGTCTCTCTTTTGTCCGAACATCATCTACAGTGATTAGAATCTATGCCCTCTCCTCTGACCCAGCTTAGCCACACTTAAAAAGGGAACATAGCATTTCTAATTAGATTCTGCTCTATGATTCGGGTTCCGCCTGCAGTTCCATGCCGCCATAAATACAGTGACCTTGTTCTCCTAATTATAGTCGATTGGCTCCTTTTTTTGACACAAACTTCTGTGTTTTATTCTGGTGTGATGTTTCAGTCATCTACGTATGCTGATCTTCGTGAACCTAACCTGTTTGCAGGACTTGACTTTGGCATGTGGAATCCTCCATCTGAAATATCTTCCCTGCATTTTGCTGTCTTAGAGAATAGTTACCACCATTGAACACCAGAAAGAGTAAAACTGACTTATACATCTTTTCCAAGATCCTCCTCTTGACATTGGTAACTGTGACCTTGTTTTAGTACTACAAATTTTTATTTTTTCCCCTGTGATGTACATTATTCATGGACATTTTGCTTTGTTTACTTTTACTCTTAGATATCAATCTTTATTTTTAAAATTGTAATTTGAAAATATATTATTTTCAGATAATATATTGTGATTATGGTTTCTCCTCCCCCAACTTCTCCCAGATCCTTTCCACCTTCTCCTACCCACCTACCAAAATACACACCTTCTTTGGCTCTGTCTCATTAGAAAACGAACAGGCATTTAAAAATCCCACTTGGGATTGTCTAACAAAACATGGGGCTGGACCCTGGAGACCACTGATTTTTCACCTATCAGTTAGTAGCTATTGATTTCCTGTCTTATTTAGTCCACATATTGTTGAATCTTCATGGGTGCAGCTGCCTTGTCATGTTTAGAAGACCAGCAAGCAACCTGGTTCTCTGGTTCCTACAATAATATCTGTCCTCTCCTGTGATTTTTCTCTGAGCCTTAGGTGAGTAACCCAGACTCAGAAAAACAATTGTCATATGTTCCCACTTTTTTAATGGATCATACCTCAAAATCTTCAGATTTAAGTATAAAACTTGAAGTAACTCTAGGAACTATGAAACAGAAAGGGAGAAAAAGCTATACTAGAACACAGGTGATATGGAAAGGAAACAGAAAAATGGGGGGCTTTAACTGTGGAGGATAGGGGGAAAATACAGAGGGAGAGGGAGAAAGGACAGATAGTTAACACTTAAGAGTATCTGAAAAACACATAGGGAACCTATCTTTTAAAAAAGTAATCAAAATGTGTGTGTGTGTGTGTGTGTGTGTGTGTGTGTGTGTGTGTGTGTAAAACCTGCTTTTGAGTTGTTCATCAGGGAAATCCAAAAGTCTTCAAATGTAGAGAATTGCCATTGTACTTGGTTGCTTCACTGAACATGAAATGAAGCCTCTACTTTTTGAAGATAACCCACAGTGTGACACATTAACTTGGAGGTATCAAGCCAGACCTGAGCTAGAAGTATCCTTCCTAAGGACTAGCTCTTATAATATCCAAAGGTGCTATGCAAGCTGCCAATGAAGAAAAGAAATAAAAATTCTACCCACATGTAGAGCCTTCAAACACATTAGTGACCTCCTAGCAAGATTCAACCAATACTACTTTAGTGGTATTTTTCATCTTGGTTGTAACCAACAGCTGTCTAGTTGGACTTAAGGTCTTCTCAACAGGAGAGAATTCATTATTTGGACTGTAAACCTCACCAGCTACCCATGACTGGCGAGGAGAAACATTTAGATAGAGTCATCAAATTAGAGAAGCAATCATAGCCAGGGTGAAGGCTGATGCAGGAACCCACTTAGGCTGTTCATTAAGAACACCCAGGACTTGAGAGGACAACACATGGATCCTAAAATGCAAAGATCAAGGTTTCTACCAGCCAGCAAGTGCCTTTGCTTACTTTGTGATATCCATAAATTTAATTAATCAAAACGCTGTACCATACACAAATAGCACAATTGTACCCTGTTCTAATCCATAGACACAGCATGGAGTAACTTACAGACTGCCTTTGACAAACCAGTGTCACATGGTTCATACATAATATTATCTATATAGTCTCATTTCTCTTTTACTCTATTCCTTTTTCTTCTTATATCTTATAGAAAATCAAATCATAATTAAACATTACAATTTGGATATAGAAGTTGGGAATGTTGCTAGATGTGTCAAATGTTTGTCATTGTCGCTAAAATATGTCATTAATTTTTATGTTTCTCTGTACATCCATCCACATCAGTATCCTCAAATCTATGCTCCCAAGCCACATTTCCTAGGCTCAGATGTCATATAAATAACTGTTTGACACTCAACATCAGATACTGCCTTGCTGGCTTTCCCCTTTCCTCAATGTGCATAGCTAGATCTCTTCTAGTGCATATATTATTCAGCAAGGACTATGAGGTCATAAACCATAAATCCATTTCCTTTCATTCAGGTCCCTTTATACACCTATTTCCATCTTTGTGGCTTCTCTTATACGCTCAAAGCTCTGAGGCTCATCTTATTTTTCACCTTCCTGCTCATAGTTGGCAGCTCCTGACAGCTACCAGATGCCCACAGTACCCTTTACACATTGCTTGTCATTAACTTAAGAGAGATCGTTATTCACATCTTTAGCTTGCACATTTGTGCCATCTCTCTTCTCCAACTTTGCCTCTCATCAGGGGAATAATTTTCTCTCGTTAATGCAAGACCTCTTTAATACTGTAATTTCTCTTCCCTGAAACATTTTGATTGGATGTTTGTAATATCTGAAATTTATGTCATTTGTGTAGTGAATAAATGCTTTAGCATGCTTGATGCATTATAAGAGGAAAATAAAATCTTAAATTTTGTTTTGTAATTTTTTGTAATAACACATATAGGATAGGACCATGATAATAACATAATTTTAGAAGTTCACTCCAAAATGGAAATGCATGACCTTTGTTTTAAAAAAAAAGCACCACAATCTGAGAGAGCAAGAACAAAAATTAAATCAAGCACAGGACTTTTCTAAGAATGGGATCTTGTATTCTGCATGAGTTTCATGCCCAGGAACTTGACTCTGTGTATGTGTTTCAGACAGGTGTCAGAGGGGAACAATTGTATTGATTTATTTATATGTTGAAGTATCTATATAATATAGTGTATGCGGAAGTTTCTGTCCTGCCAGAAACTTCCAAACACCTGGCAGCTGCTTCCCTATTACCACACACAAGCTGATGTTAATTATCAATGCTCGGCTGGTAGCTCAGGCTTATTACTAACTAGCTCTTACACTTAAATTAACCCATAATTAGTATCTATATTTAGCCATGTGGCTTGGTACCTTTTCTCCGTATGACATTCTCATCTTGCTTCCTCTGTCTGGCTGGTGATTCCTGACCCCACCTTTTCTCTTCCCAGCATGTTTAGTTTTGTTGTCCTGCCTACAGTTCCTGCCTGGCTAGTGGCCAACTGACATTTTATTAAACCAATCTGAGTGACAAATCTATACAGTGTACAAGAGTATTATTTCACAGCAATAGAGTTAATAAATACCACTTAAGAAATGGAATGGTATACAGAATAAAGTGGAATAAATATGTGAATTGATGCACTTTTACTGTGCTTTGACATAGAACATACAGTAAACGGAAATACATAGTTAATAAGAATCTATGTTTATTCTCAAGTCTATTATCCATTGTAGTACAATGTATGGGTTTAGTGTGAAGATTCAGAAATCAGGCTACTTGGGTTTTAAAAGCAGGCTTTGTCTACCACAGTAGGTGTTGGTCTTGATAATGTTTCAGTTTACCACAGTAAGTGTGGGTCTTTGGTAATGTTTCAGTTTACTGGGCATCACTCTAAACACCATAAGAACATTACAAAGAATCTATGGTATAGACTTGACATGTAAATTATTCTATCTCAAGTCCTTTAAAGAACACCTAGAGCAGTAAAAATTTTAAGCTTTCTTTAAAAGTCTGTGTATTAAAATTCTTTTATTGAAAAGGAATGCTTTCTTGTTTCAAAATTATATGCATAGATTGCTCCTTTGTAAATTAATGCCTCTTATTAGATGGGAAATGTTTCTTTATATTGTTCATGTGGAATTACAAATTTTACAATGAAATTAAGCCCCTGATGGTGGAAATAAATGATGTCCTTAATTTTTTAATTTAAATTTGAATATCTAAATCCTGTTTAATTGATGAATTTTGTTAATTGTGTTACAGTTCATAGGTTACATAATTTTAGAATCCAATTCATTTGAACCTTAACATTTCAAGCAGGTATAAAGAAATTTAATGACCAAGTTTTTTGGAATTAATACAATATAGAAAATCAAGTTATTTGCTTTTGCTTTTTTATGTTATTAAGTATTAAGGCTATATATATATGAATATGGGTCACATTTATTTCTGATGGTGAACAGTTTGTTTTCTTTATTTTAGAGAAAGATAGATTGCTTTGTAAGCTAAGCAATTATTCTTGTGTGCAAACTATGAATCTCAGCCATCCTGAAATGAATCCAAAGTATTAGTTTAATCATCAAATTTAGAATATCAAATAATATGCCTGCACTATTGTCAGTGTTAATGATAAATTTGTTCAACTAATTTACTTTAGATGGCTTTTAAGAAGTTATTCATAATGAACAATATAACCCTTCAAAAGAAATTCTAACCAAGCATGCCTTCTAAAGAGGAATGCATAAGTACTTCTAGGCATAACATCTGTGAGTTGTGAAGATTGCTTGGAAAGTGTGAGGTGACACTGTCACGATCACTCACTTCTTTACCACACCTTGTGCTCAGACTCTTTCCTCTCTTGCAGATTTCACTATTTAAATCTTTGTCCAATTTCTTCTTTTCATATTAGATAGTATTACTGAAGTCTTCACTAACATCTACGTGACCAGTTTTGGCCCTGTCTCAGATACAGATATGGTGAGTTTGTTTGTTTGTTTGATTGTTTTTCAAATATCAAATATGTTTCTTAACCAATTGGAAACTGGTGGTAATTTAGAGTCAGTATGTATCATTATTGTCACAGAATTCTTTATATATTTCATGTCTGGACACATGAGAAAAAAATTTGAGGATGTTTTTCTTTTTTTTTCTGTGGAACACATCTCCAGCTTGGATGTTTAAATGAGCTCATTATATACATCTTCTATTTTTCTCCCCTAAAGTACCTACCTAGATGTGATGTTGCATTCAATTACAATTTATGTAAAAACAATTGTATTATTGGTGATGATTTTCTGGAATGAAGGCATTTTCTCGACTTCCATATGACTGATGAGTTTCATAGGTAGTTGCTTCTCACCAATTAGTGGTATTACATGAAGATGTCCTCATGTCATAGAGGAAAGTGGTTTCCTTGTACAGTCTGCACACACAAGAAGCACATGCAAACCAAACCAAAGAAAACTACAGTGTTGAAATTACTGGATTTTGTTGAATTGATGCTATTTGTGTTTCTTTAAATGAGATATATATGGGAGGGAAACTGGTGGGGTAAGATAAATTCTTAATAATGTGTAAAAATGTTAGTAATCATCCCTCCATTTCTATGGCTAACTACAGTGCTCTGTAATAGAACATTTTCTTGAAATAATGTTTTTTCATTATTGCCATGTCATATTATGCCATATCTCTCAACTGATAGCTGCCTGGATTCCCTGCCCCCTATATGGACCTCTCTTGTCTCATGCTATCTCTCTGTCAACTAGGAGGCTCACATTCTCTTTCAGTCCTCAAGCATTCTCTACTGAAGACTCTAACACTTTAAGTTCCAGGGAATGAAAATCAGAAGGGATGGCATTGTTGGTTTTGTGTCCAGTCCTCCTACATTGTCAACTCTTCCCATTTTATTATGATCTCTCTGCCTTCTGGGAGTGAATGGAAGTACTACCTTTACAATGATTTGCTTTCTCTCCTATCAGAACGAGGCTTCTACATCAATTAATTTCTTCTATGACTGGAATGGTGAACAGGGTGACAGGGTGTGAGGCTGAGGGAAGAGCTTCACTTTTGGGCAAGATGTTGACACAAAAATGGTGCAGTCTTTCAAATTCTTTCAAAGTGACAATTGAATGGCTTCTTTTTCTACAATAGGAGAGAGACACAGGGACAATTTTGGAGCAACAGGAAAACATGCTGTAGAACTTCCTCTGTCCATCAATTACCTGCTTTAGTTTTTATTGTTTGATTTTTTTCCTCTTCACTGCTAGGGATTGACTTCAGAGCTGTACTGCTCAACTACTGTGCCTGAGCTCCTGACCTGAAACATTAATCTGACATGTTGTGTAGATCAATGAAAGTGGACAGGACCTTGAAATGATGTCACATACCGGTGTAGCAGCAATACATAACCCAAATCTCATAGGCTGGTTGTAAAATGAGTTTGTACTAAAAATACTTCTTGTTTTAGTGAGGCTAGCTTTAGTAGATGTTTACAAATTTTAGATATGTAAATAAATATTTAAATTGTATGTAGAGAAAACAGAGAAAGGGAAAATTTTATGAAGTAGTATATTGAAAAGCCAGTAGCATAATATACATATGATGTGTGTATAATGGTTTCTCTTGGTGTCATACTGCTAGCTAAATAGAAAGAAAAATTCTATGGAATGACCAGGTATCAATAATTCTGCAATGCTTGCACTCACTGTATTATGAATATAAGAAGTAACCTATTGTAATGGAAGTTTTGATTTTTTGGAAGGGAGTATTTTTCACCTAAAAATTTCCCAAATGAAGAACATATATATTTATAATCAATTTCTAATAGTTTATGTTTTGTGTTTGGGGATTTTTAGGAAAAAATACTCAGGGTCAAAGGCGAGTGCGGTAGCGTACACATGTATTATCAGTACTTCCAAAGTGGAAACAGGAGGGTCCCAAACTCAAGGCCATTCTGGGCCCCAGGCAGTGTGAGTCTCTGTTTCTAAAGTGAGCCAGAGAGGTGGGTGAGGGATGGAAGATGGAAGGAGGAAAGTAAGAGAGAAAGGAAAGCACAATTGTATTATTTCTGGCAAACTCTGTGAAAGTGTTTTTTTTTTTATAGAAGTGATAATATATTTTATTACTCTTTCACTTCCACTGAGATAATCAAAAATTTACTGTTAAGTGTGTAACCATGAAGAATAGATTGATTTTTAAATGAATCTGAATTTCACTTGAAATACTTTGGTCTCATCAGTGAATAGAACCCAAGAACACTTATTGAAAAAACTATTTAGTATGTTTAAAATGTACTCTTATTTGGTGAAATCCTTGCATGTTACAATAAATATTAAAATGTGCTCATCTTTCCAACTGCATTTAATTTAGATTGATTTGAGTGTACTTATACTTTATAACATTTAAAGAAAATATCAGTTTTTGTTTTAATTTTCTTTGTGCATTTGAGGGCACACATGTCCTAAGGCTGTGTGTGTGTGTGTGTGTGTGTGTGTGTGTGTGTGTGTGTGTGTATGTATGTATGTATGTGTGTGTTCATATGTGTGTTCATACTTATGGAAAGATTTTGAAAAATGAAATTGACATTTACAAACTCCCTGAAAGTCTGTCCTTTAATGCTTCTATCCTCAAAGAATCTCATACATTTTCTTCATAGGATTTCTAACTTTGTATTTTCATTTGTATATTTGGTTCACTAATAGTCACAATTAACTTCTTTGGAGGAAGTATTACTAACCACAAAACCAAAAATGGCAATATGCTATATCGTCAGTGTCCACAATAGAAGTGTCAATGAGTGTATTACTCAAAGTAAGGGGCAAACTTACTGAGATCTCACCCACAGTCAAGAACTACAGGCAAAGAACTGCAGACTGTGGGGATCCCAGGGATCAGTGCTGGTACTGGCTGTCCAGTCCTGAGTGGTCAGCCTTGAAACTGTAGACACACTATCAACAAAATAGATGGATAGCAGGCTTTGTATTTGTATACACACATGCCTACACAAACATATTTGTGTACATGTATAAGTGTGTGTATGTAACAACAATAACCAAGGACACTAAAAGAGGCTATTGTAAATGTATGTTGGGTGTATGGGAGATGTTGAAGAGAGAGTACATGAGAGGGGCTGGATGGAGGAGAGGGAAGCAGAAAGTGATGCAATTCTGTTTCAATTCCAAACATAATTTTTTTAAACTATCTATATTAGGAATATGAGCAGGACAATATAAAACACAAAACATTATCAACTATTAAAAGGTTTATTAGGCATTGAAAGGGCTAAGTAGCCCTGAGAACAAAGACAGAGAAAACAACAGAATGCAGAAGCAGAAGCAATTTGAACCAGGGAATGAAGGAGGACACTTAGGGATTTGTGGTTGGTATGTGAAATGAATAGAAAATTTCTTACATAGTCCGATAAAACATTTATGTTATGTGAAAAAAAAGAGTTCACTTGTCCAAGGCAGTGAGCTCAGATTTTAGTGAAGAATGTTCATCAGCTTCAGGAAGCCAAAGCTGTAGCTGAAGAAGAAATGTGTGAGGGGGTGTGTGTTTCCTAGGACTACCTTTCCTGGTGACTGAAAACTCACAGCATGCCAGTCCTAGAAGCTTTGTCTGAGAGGAATCACTAAAGGACAGGAAGAAAAGCTTCCTCCTCCTGAAATGCATTCGAGTGTCCCTCCAGATACCTACCCTGACTAGACGTGATACCACATAGCTAAGAAGGGAAGTGCTGACATACTCCATCTTCTAATCCAATTCATGGAAAGGGGGTAGGTTTGTAGGTGAGACAAAAAATATGGAGCACTGGAACACATAATAAAATATGATAGAAAGATTATTTAGAGTGAGTGACAAGATCTATACTTGTCTAGATCTAGGGAAGACGTATGAAATTAGAGAAAATTTATTTTGAAATCATATGTATACATATATATATATATATATATACACACATGTCCATGGCTATCTATATCTATATATAAATATATTAAACATACATAGAAGTAACATAGCTCACATTAACATACAAACTCACATTCCAAGTTTGCTAGAGGAGATTAATTTGATGTAAAAGAAATTGAAAATGTTGTCAATAAAATATTCGTGCATGAAATTCTCAAAAAAATAATTTAAAAACCAGGAAGCAATTGAAATATAAAAGAAAATCTTCATCAACTTTGTGATGAGAAATGACTTGGCTTTCATGATGACAAGATGAAATGTTTCATTCCTTATGATTGACACTTATTTTGCAGGTAAGTTATAAAAATAATGATGGCAAGTTTAGACTTTTGTTTAGTGAAGACGAGGTAATCTAAACAGACATGCCCCAAAAGGGAAGGAATAACACACATTTTATTACCTACAAGTAAATGAGGATATGGGGGCATATGGTTCATGTCTCCTAGAAGCAATTTGTTAATAAGAACAAATAAGGAAGACATTTTACTTTCCCTTTAGTAGTGTAACTGCAATTCTTTCAGTGAGCTACATAATCTGTAGCAAAAACGAAGCCCTTAAGTTCTCTTGTTCAGGTAAGTGATGTAGATTTGTTCTGACATTAGCTTGATAGGAAATAGCAGCATAGCACAAGAACTAAGGACCAAATAAAAAACAATGCACGAATACACATAATACATATGTACATGGACATATAGACACATGTTCACACTTGGCTATCAAAACCTCATTAACAAGCGTAATTGTCCAGAGAGAGTTGTGCATTTGAATTATAGTTAATGATTCTAATTACAGTGTCTGCAGTTAAGTTAAAAATCTTTAATTTCAGTATTAAAAAAATTAATGAGTAAGAAGGTAATTAAGCTTTAAAAAGTCCTGGTAGCTAACAATGGGCAAAGTTTTCAGTAGGTATGCACACTACTCTAATTTCTCCCACACCTGACCCACCCCCATGTGTTTGCATATAAAGAAATATGTCCTTTCTATAAAAGACATAGAAATGTCTTCTTTTG